CATCCATCCAGTTGTCGTCATTTCAAGAGGGAGAAAACAACACAATCAATCAAACCCACCAACCAAACCTCCAACTTTGGTCACCAAAAAACAATATCCTAACCATATCAAACCTGCAAAATACACATATCAACCATCTTCAATCAAAACCATCAACCTCAAACCACACCATCTAATTGCCATTTCAACATCACCAAATTTATCCGATCAACACAAGCAAACCAGATGCAAAATAACAAATAAAAAATACCTAGAAAAAAAATCCCCATCATCACCAATTCCAGCAAATACCCCAAACCAAACACTGAATCCAAATTGAAAATCCAACCCATTATTTAGCAAAAAAATTTCCAGTCAACAAGTTTTAACAACAAAATAAATAAATAAATCATCGCCAATGCCGAACGTCGCCAGTCTAACACTGATGACATCAATCTGTTGCAAATCATCAACAGTGAAAAAAAGTAGCATTCTATTGATGTCTCAGCCGTTGTCATTGCAAAGCTAGCTGCGAAAGAATCAGCATTCTACTATTGTCTCAATTGTTCTCATCACCAACCCAGCTGAGAAAACTCTGATCTTCCTTTGATCTGCTACTGTCGTCACTAATCTGCCACTAACAGCTCCAACCAGCAGTCATCTCCAAAGAAAGGAGTTTTTATTTTTTATCTTTCAAAACTCTTATTCATTTTTTTATTTTTTGTTTTTGTTTCTTTTATCTTTAACAAAAAAATTCAAAGCAATTAAAAAAAAAGTCAAATAGCCAAGAAGTCAAAGTAAAAAAAAAAAAAAAAGTTGTCAAGTAAAAAATAAGACAAAAGTAAAAAAAAAAAAAAAAAAATGTGTGGAGAAATTCTACAAAAAAACCTAATTCCAAATTTGGAAGCAAGTTACTCAGAGGTTAGACGAGAGGTGACTAAACCCGACATGCTCAACAAAAACAAAACTTCTACTGATGCTATTGTGGAAAAGAAAGTAGATGTCACACAGTCCTCATCATTTGTAGCCACTACTAAAAATGATGATAAGTCTTTACATATATGTGCATTTGTTTCTAATAGTGCATGGATAATTGAGTCTGGTGCTACTGATCATATGACATTTGATTCTAGGCATGGTTCTCATCTTAAGTCATCCTCACAAAACTTTGCTTCGACAACCAATGGTGAATCTAATCGGGTCATTGGGGAAGAATCATTAACCCTTAAAAACTCCATACACTTAGATTTTGTCTTAGTTGTCCCATCCTTAAATTATAACTTGTTGTCAGTCTCCAAAATAACAAAAGCCTTATCTTGTGTGGTGATTTTTTAGCCTGAATTTTGTAAGTTTAAGAGCATTCAAACAAAACAAACTATTTGTCATGGTATTAGACGGGGGCAATTGTATTACTTGGATTTAGATAAAAAAGCTCTTCCATGTTACAGCAGGCTTTGACAGTAGATTTCTCTAAAAGGGATAAACAAAAAACTGACATTTGATTATGGCATCGGCGCCTTAGACATGCTTCGTTCAGTTATCTGAAGAAACTTTTCCAAGTTTGTTTGAAAAAAATGATATTAGTAACTTCCGCTTTGATGTTTGTGAACTATCAAAAAGTCATCGAGTCTCATTCCCAATAACATTAAACAAAAGTCCAAGTCCATTCATGCTTATACATTTAGATGCTTGGAGGCCATCACAAGTTATTACTTTAGGTGAATCTCGTTGGTTTGTTTCTTTTATTGATGACTGTATAAGAATGACTTGGGTATGCTTAATGAAATCTAAAGGGGAGGTTAATTTGCTCTTTTAGAGATTTCACAAAACGATTCATACGTAGTATAATGCACAGATTTAGTTCCTCCGAAGTGAAAATGGAGGAGAATATCAAAGTTCAAGTCTTCAATAGTACTTGGCAACACATGGTATCATTCATCAGACTAGTTGTCCCATTACACCCAACAAAATGGTGTTTGAGAAGCACTTACTTCTGCAGCCTACCTAATCAATCGGGTACCCTCTAGTTCTATTAGGTTTCAGACACCTTTTTAGGCTCTTGGTAATGCAGTGAATGCTCTAATGGTTCCGAACTTACCACCTCATGTTTTTAGCTGTATCGCCTTTGTTCACCTATATAAACATGAACACAACAAGTTGTCCCCTCGTGCATTGAAATGTGTTTTTGTTGGCCATGGTGTTCATCAAAAGGGGTATCGATGTTATCGTCCTCCAACTCAACAAACGTTTGTGATGATGGATGTTGTTTTCCATGAAGAATTGATATATTAATCTTATGAGTCTGAACTTCAGGGGGAGTATTATGAGGAAGAAATTCAGACTCTTGACTATGCTGTTCAAGATGTTGTTCAAGATATGGGAGACTATGAGTTACAAACCAGACCTGTTGTTCAACAAGAAGATAAAGTGGATGATGAAAATGTGGAGGTGGTATCAAACCCATCTGTAGAAACTTCTCAGTCCAAGTCTCTCATTCCTAGTATGTCACAACCACCATCTGTTGAGAATATTCCTGATTTAGAGTCTAAACCAATTGAGTCTGAACCAATTAGGAAACAGTTACCACCATGTAGTACTGGAGGGATTCCCAAACCAACCTACGAACCTGAGCTATCTAGTAAGGTCAAATACCCCATGAGTCATTATGTGTCTAACCATTGTTTGTTAGAATCAAATTTTCCATTTGTGAATCAATTATCTACTATATCTATTCCAACAGTGTGCATGAAGCCTTATTTGATCCAAAATGGAAAGCTGCCATGAATGAAGAGATGAAATCATTACAAAAGAATGAGACTTGGGAACTTGTTGATTGCCCACTAGGAAAGAAGAATGTTGGATGTCGATGGGTTTACACTGTGAAGTATAAAGCTGATGGTATGATTAAACGATTTAAAGCAAGACTAGTAACAAAGGGGTACACCCAAATTCATGGGATAGACTATACAAAGACATTTGCACCTTTAGCAAAAATCAACATAGTACATGTCTTGTTATCTTGGCTACAAACTTGGATTGGCCATTACAATAGTTCGATGTGAAGAATGCTTTCCTACATGGAGGATTGTCTGAAGAGATCTATATAGATCCTCCACCAGGTGTATTCTTCCAAGGAGGCATAGCCAAAAGGTTTATAAGTTAAAAAACTCATTGTATGAGTTAAAACAATCTCCGAGGGCATGGTTTAGGAGGTTCACCAAAGCTACACTACAAGAAAAAGTACTTTTTGCAACCAATTTTTTTGCAACTAGGCAAAAATAGTTGCAGATACCCCACTTTAGTAACTAAATTCCAATTAGTCGGCCAAAGGGAATAAAATTCTAGGGCCCATTAATTCCCGCCTTTATCATCTAAAATTAATATTTTGTGACTAATGTGATTTGTTGCCCAAAATATCACATAAGCGACTAATTTATTTGGTTGCCAATTCTTGCGCGAACACAATTGACAACTACAACAAGGGATTCTGCAACTAAAATTATGGTTACAGAAAACAATTATTTGCAATTACTGAATAGTTGCTAAATTAGATGCAAATATTTACTAATTAATTTGTAACTATTTTTATTAGTTACAAAATAATACAATTACTGAAATATCCAAGCTTTTAACAATGGGTATTATAATGGGTGATTTTATTTTTGTCTTCTCTTTCATTTGACATTACAATGGGTATTATAATTGTAATGAGTACTTTAAATATGTTTATTGTTACTAATAAACGAATGGTGTTTGATATTATTTTTGTCTTCTCTTTCATCTGACATTACCATTTTTCCCTAAAACTTTTGCTTAACCGCTATTTCACTTATTTGTACAAACCCTCATAGTTGACCCGCTTCCAGCACTGGAACAACAGTTCTAGTTTCTACTACTCTCGTTCAGTAGACAACGACTCGCTCACTGACTCTGATGCTTATTCCTTGCCTATTTCGACGAAGATTGTTAACTTCGGTGAGTTTTGGCAAGGCGTATCCTGAACACCCAAATATAGCGGTATTTAGAAAAATATAGATACTGAACGTAACCGAGAACTGAACCAGTTTTTCATTTACCTGGGAAACCGTTCGATTGTGGTCTACAAAAATACAAAAAACTGAATTTCCAATTTTAAAAAACAAACATTAAAAAGTAAACAATTTTTCCTTAAAATTTAAAAAGTAAACAAATTGAAAAGTCCTAAATCCTTACAATTAAAGAAAAACAAAATCCCAAACCCAGTTTTAGGGTAACATAAGAAAAAAAAAAGTAAGCAATTTTGCAAAAAAAATTTTGAAACTTAGAATAAAAAAAAAAAATTAAAAAGATAGTAAACCCACTTATACAAAATCCCCAAACTAATTTTACCCAAAAACGCAAACACTCTCCACTTCTCCACTCCATTCGCATCTTCTTCTCCATTTTTCCACACCACATATAAAACATTACAAAACCCTACTGCTTTACTTCTAAACCCAGAAAAAGAAGGCAGAGAGTTTTTAGAGATTAAAAATAGGTGATGAATCTTAAAGATTGATGTGTGTATTCTACACATGGCCCTCTCTCTCTCTCTCTCTCTCTCTCTCTCTCTCTCTCTCTCTCTCTCTCTCTCTCTCTCTCTCTCTCAATCGGCCTCTGTTCCAGTAGATCTTGTCATTATAATCATTACAATGACATCATGTTACCAGCGGTTCACCGCCGGTCCCGCCGTGTCACACACTACTCTACTTGAATCACGAAAACCTTCACGTACGGCGGTGATTTCACGCCTATTAAGCGATCAGAGAAATCAACGGCCATGGCTCGTCCTGAAATCGCTGAAACAACATTTGAATTTGTACGTGGCGCGGGCGGGAGGAGTGTGGGAGAGATCGGAGGGGAAGGAAGCGGCGGTGCAGAAGAGGAAGGCGGGGACGTGGTCGTACGCGGTGGAGAAAAGGAGGAGTAAAGATGAAAGGAGTAGGAAGGTGGAAGTGGTGGTGGCAGCGACGGTTACGGTGGTCCTGGGCATTGGAAATCAAGTGTTGTATAAACTGGCGCTTGTTCCTCTGAAGCATTACCCCTTCTTTCTTGCTCAGCTTGCTACTTTCGGGTACCTAATAATTTTATTTCTCTCTTTTACTATTTTTATTAATTAGTGTTTCCATCATATTTTTTTTTTTTTATATTGATTTGTATAGTATGAGTTTTATTTAAATATTCAAAGAAGAGAATTTATTTTATTTTATTGTATTTCTCATTTTCAGTTTTATTTTATATATTGTCCCTCCAAAATCTCATTTTTTTCTTCCTTGTTGCATATAGGAATCTTCCACAACCCATATTGGAATAGTTTATTCAGGTTGGCTTTTTCATTCTTTCTCATTGTTTGTGTGGCGAATTCAATAACTTTTGTTGGGAAGTTGTCAGTACAAGTTAACAATATCCTAAAGGCAGGAGGTGCTGATACTGTTGAAACCATGGATTAGCCTGTTATATTATCCAAAATTAAACATATTGGATGTTGGTGATAGTCAAATTATTAAAGATGATAGGAGCATTGTGAAGGTGGTTTTAGAGTTGTTATTTTTTTATTTTTTTATTTTTTGGAAAAGCTTTAGAGGAAGGATTGTTAGAATAAGGTTTACTGTGGTGTGCTCTGGATGGACGCAAGGCAAATTAGCTGGAGAGAGCATTTGAGGAGGAAATAGAAAAGGCTGAGTTTGAATCCTGCAAAAGTTATTTTGGATTTGATGGATGGTAAATGGTGTTATTTCATAATGGATTGATAAATGCTATGACTAGTCAAACTTTTAGCTTCTGCGAGGGGAGTTGAACCCTCGACCTTTACAGTAACCTTTCTGTAACTGATAATTATTAAAAATATTAAAATAAAATAAAATTCTATATAAATTCTAAATTCATTTGGAAGATGCAATTCTGCTCTAATTTTTCAATTTTACTTACTACAATTGATAAGCTATATATTTGAAAAATACTATTATTGTAGTTTTGATTCCTTGACTGTTGTATATTCTTCTTTATAGAACTATTAACTGCATATGCTTTTATGTTGTTTCTGTAACACATAGGTTCAAGAAATACAAATAATTGATCCTTAAGCATGACCACTGTTTTTGAAGTGATGTTAGTACCCTGCTAGCAACTTAGATAGCTGGTAAGATAGCTTGGTGTACAAAAAATGTTTTAGATTGGTTTTAGAATATGGTTAAACTGAAGTTGAAAATAACCATTGGAAGATTGGAAGCAATGTATGACCCTTCATCGCTAGAATTTAAAGAAGGTTTCATCATTTTGTGGGTACAACTTTGGGGTGAATAATACTTTTTGTTTTTCGGATATGCAGGTCTTGAGAAAGTGTGGGATGTGAAACCTTTGGTTAATGGGAAAGAGATTATGAGTGTTTTGCAGCTTAAATCTGGATGGCCACTTATTAGGGAGTGGGTAAGGTAATCTTTATGCATCTAAGACCCAAAATGTAAAAAGGTTTCAAGTTCCAAATGCTAATTAACTCTTTACTTTACAGCAAAAAAAACTCAAGGCAGCTTGCCCATCCCTCTGTGACAGCAGAGGAATGCCTTGGCTGGACGAAGCAAACCTACTCAAAGCGTGTAAAGCTGGAGCCTGGCAATTCAGTCCATTGATCAGAGCTACAATAGTTAGTGTTAGTTGTTTTGGATTATACATTTGGAAAAGCATTCTAAAACCTACGAACATCCTTTGGTTCTAGATGCCAAAGTTTGTTACGTTAGCAGTGAGATCAAATTCGAGTCATCTTACGGCAAAGAGATTTTATCTTATGGAAGAATCGAATACTTCCGCAAGATAAGAATGATATGCTGAGTGAGAAAACGCAAGAGGTAGCGAATTTGAATTGTATATGCTAAACTTATGTGCATTATAAGCCTTTAACTAATATGACCTCTGCTTAATTGCTTTTATGTGGTTCACTTGATCAGCGAATTTCCTTCTATAGAAAGTATATGTATTCTAGCTCTTAAGATAAGGTGCACAAAAATTATACTTTGTTGAGGTGGCAAAATATGTTATTTTTACCTTGTGATGAGAGAGTACCTCAATTTGGTGCCTTTTTTTCCTCTTCTTGGGAGCTTTAGCTTCTACTTCAGTTGTATTGGACTCTTCTGTTGCATTCTCTTTACCTTCAACGCATTCGCAGCATGTTTTCATGTGAGGCATTTGATGTGTCTGGATGTAATTATAATGTTCCAGAGTTGTGAGTCTTAATCATGTTTACTGAGCCTTCCTTGATTAGATGACATTTTTATGACTTACTATGATTTTATAATCTGTTGTTCAGCGTATAATTGATCTAAAGGTGAGACTATACTGTGAATCTTGCAATAACCAGCTCAAAAAGATATTGAAGACAAGGGTGAGACATTATGTAACTACTAATTAGCATAGATTTTTGCTTTTTATTATTACTATTGTTATTAGCTAATCTTATTAGCATTAACTGAAATGTTTTTGTTTGATTAGAATAGTTAAAGTTATAGCAAGTTTAGTGCTAGTTACATGATTGACCGAGGATAAATTATTATATTGTTATATATAATGCAGTGCATAAATTAACCACTAAATTTTTTGTCACCAAACGATATATTCGGCCACTAATAAAATAGTCACGAAAACCTATTGGATTCCACATTCAGTGTCTACAATGATTATAATTAACTACTAAATTTTAGTCACCAAAAGATACATTCGGCCACTAACAAAATAGTCGCAAAAACTTATTGGATTTCACATTTAGCATCTAAAATAACTATAATTAACTACTAAATTTTGGTCACCAAAAGATACATTCGGCCACTAATAAAATAGTCGTGAAAACCGTTTGGATTCTACATTCAGCGTCTAAAAGTATAACAATTAACCACTAAATTTTGGTCACCAAAAGATACATTCGTCGACTAATAAAATAGTTGCGAATACCTTTGACGAAATTACCCTTGCACCTTTGTTGTCTAATTTTTGTGGCATTCGCGACAAATTATTAGACAATAAAAGGTACATTTTGCAACTAATTGATTAGTCGCTATGCAATTTTACCAAATTACCCTTGAACTATTAGCGTCTAGCTGGGGGACTATTTTGACAAGCAATTAGCGACAAATTTGCTGGTCACTAAAAAAAAATTTCTGTGTCTAAACAAAAATTTAGACGCGTAAACAATCTACGATAGCGATACTGCAACTAACTAGTGACTACGAAATTTAGATGCGAAAAATGGCTTAGCGTCTAAATGTTACTTTCTGTATCTAATTTTGCTTGACGCCAAAAGGCATTTTTCTTGTAGTGCTATGAAGTTTTTTGGCTATCATCAAAGCAATTCAGATCATACATTGTTTCTTTAAAAACAGTAAGGAAAGATCACTGCACTTATTGTGTATGTGGATAATATGGTGTTTACAAGAAATGATCCAGAAGAAAGGAAGGCTTTACAAAAGTACTTATTAGAAGAATTCGAGATGAATGACTTAGGTTCTTTGAAATACTTTCTTGAAATCGAAGTGTCTCAATCTAACAGAGGTATCTTTCTATCACGAAGAAAGTATGCCTTGGATGTATTGTAGGAATCTGGTATGTCAGCATGTCAACTAGCTGATACACCAATCGAAGGAGGTTTGAAGTTAGGAGTCGAGACTAATCAAGTATCAATTGACAAAGGGAGATACTAGAGACTTGTGGGACACTAGGCCAGATCTTGCTTATGCATTAAGTACAGTCAGTCAGTTCATGCATAATCTTAGAGAGTAGCATATGAACGCAGTTATGTGTATCTTGAGATATTTAAAACATGCTCCTAGAAAGGGAATCCTATTTTCTAAAAACAAGGACTACCAAAATGTAAATACATATACTTATGTTGACTGGGCTGGAGCAGTGGATGACAGTTATTTCAGTTTTGTAGGAGGTAATCTAGTCAAGCGGAGAAGCAAGAAATAGAATGTTGTGGCACGCTCAAGCGCTGAAGCAGAATTTAGGGGAATGGCACTTGGGATTTTTGAAGCTTTGTGCCTAAGATTTTTGTTGCAAGATTTGGGCTATCAATCTAATCATCCACTCCAGTTATATTGTAACAATAAAACACCATGTGATATTGCTCACAATCCAGTTCAACATGATCGTACGAAGCATGTTGAAGTAGATAGATTTTTCATCAAAAAAAAAAAAAATTGGATGAAAAGATTGTTAAATTGCCCAAGATTCGATCAGATGATCAATTGGTCGATATTTTTACCAAGGCTATCTCCAAACGTATTTTCTTACAAGTTTTAGATAAGTTGAGCATGTGTGACATCTACACACCAACTTGAGGGGCAGTGTTAAGATTTCCTAAATATTTCCAAAATATTATGTAATCTCTTAATTTTGTCAATTGTAGGATACTCATAATATTTTTGATATCTTGTAATCTCCTAATTATGTCAATATATTATAATTTACATAATTACAAGATTTTGTAGATTGTATCTCCCCTATATAAAAGCCTGTAACTATCAGTGTAAATATTAATGAATTGAAATATTCAATTTTTTACACGTATTAAGCATATTGACATAGATTGTAACATTGTTCACACTAAGATCAAAGAAGTGTCAGTACATCTTGTCCATATTCCCACTCACGAGAATCTGGAGAGTGAGTGGACATAATATCTTAGCTTAATCTAAATTGTAATGCATAAATAATGAGATGCCTATTACGTACGATCTACTCGTCAAGGTATTCATCTTGTATATGCTGCCAAATTTCACATCAATTAGAAAACAATGTTACACCGAATTATACTATTCTAGGTCCCATAATTTTTGTATTTGTTTCACATTTTATGTCAAAGTACATTCATTATCTGTGGACCTATGGATAGAGTCATAGAGACAAACTAAAATGCAAGAGAGAGAACCAATAAATGTGTGGTTAATTCTCTCTCTCTCTGTCTCTCATATGATTTGTTGAGATAAAAACCACTGTTTAATACGATTTATTACAAATAGATTACGAGAAAAGTCAAAAAGTAACCATGTGTCCAGTCCTGAGAATCACTTTTGAGATCCAATCGCTGCCTCTTCTAAGTTATAAGGACTTAATTAATAACTTATTTAATACGTATTTGTCACACCACAAGAAGCTGTCCGAAACAATCTACATCGTTTCTTCGTTTTTTTAATGTCTCTTCAAGTAGTTTCAGCTGTTGCTGTTTCAGTCGAAAATATCATTTGGGGGGATCATTTTTTTAGGATTATTTTAGAATTAGGATAATTATGTTAAGTCTTTTATAATTATATTAAGTCTTTTATAATTATCATTTATAATTATGCTATTATCTTATTAGGATATAATTAAGATTGTCTTATTATCTTTTTATAATTAGATAGAATATCTTATTAGATTTGAATTAGACAATTAAAGTCTTTTTGGGAGTCATTGGGGTCAAGTGTAAGGCTATATAATAGCCTAAATCTAAGTTGTGGTTATTAATGAAGAATTTTGTGGATTAATCTCTCTATCTTTTGTTCTTGGAGGTATTTGTTCCTCATATAAGCAAATCATATCCCAAACCCTATCATTGGTGCTCTCGTTCCCTAGTTATGGCTGAAGGCACTCGCTTGCATCTTTTGGATGAGCAACTTGCTAAAATTACGGCCCTACAATCTGCCCAGGCAGAGACTCTTACTTCTTTAACAGAGAAATTGGAAGTTTTGACAGTCGGTTTTCAAGATGTTACTTTGCAGATTTTAGCTCTGCACAATAACTTCGATCAAACCTGCCAGCAAAACCAATAACAAAACCAACATTCTGGCGAATCATCTTCAGATTTGACTGGGTGACGTGGATCGACCTCTAGGAGTTTTTTTCCCAAGTCTTTTCATTTAGAGTTCCTCATTTGATGGCATGGATTCGCATGGCTAGAGATTTAAAGCCAAGCAATTCTTTGATTACCATAATATCCTTATCAAGCAAAGGTTGATGATCTCTTCCCTCCACACGGATGGGCCAGCTCTCTCCTAGTATCATTGGATGCATTCCAATGGGCAGATCCATTGATGGCATTCTTTCCTACAGGATTTAGATGTTCATTCTGGGCCTTCAGGATTTGTGGATTACCAAAGGCAGTTGGCAAAACTTACTCAAACAGGTTCTGTAGTCTCTTATCAAACAGAATTTGAGGAACTCTTTAATCAAGTTTCTAGCCTTCCAGGTACGTTCCTTCTAAGTTGCTTTGTATCAAGGCTCAAACCAAAAATCCAAATGGAGGTGCAGTCCTTCCGGCCTCACACCCTTAACCATGCCATGAGTCTTGCCCGCTTACAGGAGGATAAGCTGCAGGATCTACACCTATACTTGCAATCAGTCGGCCCCTAATCTTGCGATCCTAGTAAATCAACTCCTAATGTTCCTTCAGCGCAGCAAGCCCTTTTGCCGACTCTAAACCAATCA